ATCCCAGGACTCCAGGATCATGACCTGGGCCGAAGGCAGTCGCCTAACCAACTGAGCCACCCAGGCGCCCCTGGACTTTCATTTCTAATGAATGTTTCTGATGACATCATTTTCCAAAGATGTGTGAGGATATACTAATAAAGCTGACAGAATTATACTTAAAGGATGTATAAAAGGCGACAGAATGCACAAGAAAATTATAAAGCAGAAGTGTCAAACATATCAACATATTACAGCCTAGCAGAATACTTTATGACTGGAGCTGCCTTATTGCCACACAGCAATAGAAGCCCTTCAATTTAATATGAAGGGACTATCGCCTACTCCACTTTCTTCCCCCTCGCTACCCTCTATTACCTTGCACTCCCTAGTGCTTGATGGATTAAGTTGCCCTGTGGCTTACTGAGAAAGAATTCAATCACTTAAGTTCTATACTTATGATATATAATCTTATTTCAGGAAATGCCTCCTTTAATTTGTAGCTTCTTTTGATAATTTGAATAATTATGTAATTATCACCCACACAGTCTAAATTTTTCAAGAATAAGAACTGGTCACAAAGCTTACAATTAAAGCTGTCACAGGATGCACTGTGTTCAAACTCTCACACACGATTAGTTACCTGGTAAGACAATGTACGAAACACCCACCCATGCCCATGTATCCTTCAGTTCTTCCAAACTCAAAACTGCCAAATTTATGCTGCAGATGTGTGATTTCTTCACCACAATTCAAAGTAAGATTTTAAGTAGAACTGATAATTCTTTTTTTTTAATATGTATGTATTTATTTTAGAGAGAGTGAGAGAGCAGGGTGTGGGTGTGGAGGGGTGAGAGGGAGACGGAGAGAGAGAATCCCAAGAGCTTAACCAGCTGAGCCACCCAGGTGCCCCAGAACTGATAATTCTTTGTAATTATGATTATGGAGGGACAACTTTTTAAGGGTGAAGGTCAAACAATTTGGGAGTTATTATTTTGAAAAAGTACACAAAATTGGGGCACCTGTGTGGTTCAGTCGGTTAAGTGGCTGACTCTTGATTTTGGCTCAGGTCATGATCTCAGGGTCCTGGGATCGAGCCCCGTGTCGGGCTCTGTGCTCAGCGGGGAGTCTGCTGGAGATTCTCTCTCTCTCTCCCTCTGCCCCTTCCCCCTGCTTGCGTGCACACTCTCCCTCTAAAATAAATAAATCTTTGAAAAAGTATACAAAATTATGAATAAAAATTGAGTACAAAAGTGAACTCAGAATGAGAAAATAAATCAAAAGAAATCACAAATTTTTAAAAGTTAACAAATAGGACAAATAATATTAAATTCAGAAAAATAATGTAACGTATTTATTAACTGACACACCTCCCTAATACTTTTCTTTCTACAATTCTGGCTGCATAATCTTTGATTACCTCTTCTATAAGAATTCTAGAATATTTTCTACAAAGAGAATACAGAGATAACAGTCGTTCCTCTAGCATAATGATGACTTTCTTTTCTGATAGTCTAGTAGAAAAGTTTTCTGTTCTTTCAGCTTCCCTTCTCCTGACTGCTATAGTCATGTAAACTTTTAGGACTGTCGTCAATTTGGGGAAAACTACCATGTTTCCTTCAAGTATGTCTGTGTACTATAAACACAGTAATTCTGAAACATTCTACACAATTCCCATGATAAATACCAAAGGAGCACAGGACATGCACTTGCACTCCTGAAGTCTAACGAGACTAGGAAAGTGGAACGTGGTGCCTTACGGGGTGATGGCATGGGAGTGGGAATGGGGCATTCCAGACAGAGAAAACAGGACCCTATACATGAGGAATCTTGGGAGAGCCAAATGCTGTTATGGCTGTGCTTAGAAAGTGGAAGAGAGAGTTAAAAAAAGAACAGAAGTCCATACACTAAGCTAAGCCTTTTCTTCCTACACTAGGTCTCAGCTTTTTTCTGTATCCTAGGACTCAATGATGGATGAAGCTCACCAACTGGACATACAGGTGAAAAACCCAGATTACAGATCAGGAGATAAAATAGTCTCGAGGACAGAAGCAATTACAACCATTGGTTGTAAAGCCACCTCGTTCTTTCCCACTCATGGCAGCAAATGAATGAGACTTAGCAGTAGTATCAGCCCTCTCTCTACTTGGGGGAAAGACAAGGGGGCCACACACACAATAATATGCAGGGATCCACAAACTACAGACCAAATCCTGCCCAGAGCTTGTTTTTATAACCTATAAGCTAAGACTGGCTTTTACTGTTTTTTTTTTTTTAAGGTTTTTTTATTTATTCATTTGAGACACAGAGATACAGAGAGAGAGAGAGCATGAGCAGGGAGAG